TCTGTTTAAGTCTGATCTGGTTTGAACTAGTCTGGTCTGGTAAATGTCCGGTCTCTGTGTATTTTATAACTATGAAAGTCTGATCTGATCTGTTTAAGTCTAGTCTGGTGTATTTAAGTCTGCTCTGGTCTGAGGTTGAAAACATTCCAAGTAAAAACATCCCAAAGGTAGAGAAACGATGGCTAATTTTTGTTTATCTAATTTTTTAGTATTGAACAATTAAGAAGATAATTTGATACATTAATTTACACTATTACTTAAATTTTAGTGAAAATTTACATTTTAATGATTGATTAAAATAACTCCTTAAAATACTTAATTGGTGATTGTGATAAACGTTATATTTACGTGTTTTATACAATCGTTTATAATCGCTTTTATACTTAAAACAATTCAATCTTCACATATATGCCTTGTTTTGCTAGAAGTGCTTTAAATCGATAATTGGATCAAATACAAAGATGGTAGAATACACACGAAGAAACCGACGGAAAAAGGTCAACCAAACGCATCCCGAGAAGCAAACAAAGTCTACAAAACTACACAAGGAAACCAAAAGGCGCCCAGCTTTTGTAAAAGTCGGCCGACTTTTGGCCCCAAGCCCATTTTCCACGTCCAAAGAGAAGAAAAGGCGTTCGGAGCAAGAAAGAACGAAAGCCGCCCGGCTTTTGTGAAAGGCGGTCGACTTTCGTCGCCGCAAGATTAATTCAGAAAAAATAAACCAAAAGCCGCCCGGCTTTTGGTAAAAGGCGCCCGACTTTTGGCCCCTGGAGCGGAGAAAGATTCATTTAAACGCGCAAAAGCCGCCCGGCTTTTGCGAATGTCGCCCGCCTTTCATCTGGAACTGATTAAAACAAGCAACGGTCATCACAATCATTTGGGAGAAACTACAAACCCCATTAAGGAGCTTGCTTCCTTGTCCAAAAATGGCCGTTAGGAGCTCAATATTTAAGCATGTTGAAGCCCTCTCAACAGATTATTACATATTCCATACACTTTACTTCCATTTTAGCATTCCAAGATCAACCCCTTGGTCTTGGGAGAAGTTCTACACTTGGAGATTCCATTGTCCACCATAGCTTTGGAGTTGTGGTATTACTTTCTTATGTATTCCATTGTATTTCATCATTTCAATACTTGTAATTTCAATTATGAATTGCTCTAGCTAATTTTTAATAGCCAAGGTTAGGGATGAAACTTTACGCACTCTAGGTGTTTGATGTATGTTCTCAACCAAATTATTATGATCTTTCCTTTATATTTTAATGTGTATGACTACGGTGTACAACATATGATTATATCGTTGGGGTTATTTGAGCAATTAACGTTGAGTTATAAACCGTGCACTTAAAGGATAGACATATTCTAATTGTGGATAGAAATATACCTCAATTGAATATGGTGGTTTTAATAATGTCCTAATCTTTAATGGGGTTAATTTTAGATGAATGTGAACCGTGACGGGATTCACACATAGAATTAATCACAATCTTGCTGCCGTAACAGGAGTTAGAATACTTTAGCGACATTCCACTCATAAGAATTAGTGAAAGAATATACATTAATCGCTAGGAGTCGTTTAGGAGTAATCCCGAACCCTTGGTTGCTCATTTTATCACTTGAAAATAAAAAATCTATACTCTTTTACTAAGACTTTTACAAATTCTATTCTCAACTTTTGAATCATATAAACAACGTTTCCTCGTGTTCGACTCGGTATTCTTACCGGATTTTATTACTACATTGGCACTTGTACACTTGTAAGTTTAAGCCGATCAGGTTGATATAAAATTACTTCCTAAACACTAAAAATTTATCTGCACAATTCATTGTGATTTTTTTCAACCCTAATTTGAGGTTAATTCCTTCAGCCCAAAGATCCAATACAAAACCTTTAGTGGGTGATCGATTCGGGTGTTTGAATATAAATGATTAGTTAAGGAATGCAAGATGAAACACTAGATTAAGATGTATATATTGGTAGAACTCTCACAATACACTCAAGAACATGCTATGAACTAATGCTATTCTGCTCTACTGGTTGCTAGAGTATCTATTTACATTATCAGAGAGTAAATTCTATTTAGTGCAGTTTCACCTACCCCTTCACGTAGTAAATGGGGGAGTAATTATACTACTCAAGGGTATGGGCTTGCCTCGTGTCAACTCCCTACTGATTTATCCATCCTGTCGTCACCTTGCCCCTGTCCATATCGCCGGCCACTTGCTCGGTCCATGCTCCGCATTAAATGCGTTTCTTGCCAAAATCATGGTTTTCCGCCAATTCGAGTATGAACCGGTCAGATACCCCTAATAATGATACAAGGGGTGGAAGTCCGCTCAGTCAATCTCATGGGTTGAGGAGCGTCCACTCATGATGATGACAATACCTATTGCCTAGCCCGCAACTCGGATATTTTTGGCTCGACACATCTCTCTGGCTGCATTTGGCCCACGAGGATCTGTCGGCCTATGATTTCGTCCGGCCCATGATGGGACCATCCACCCTTCTTACTTGTTACTACCTTCGTCCCACTATTATTGGGAAGCAAGGAGGTGGCACAGTTCTTAAGAAAAGTGAGTTCATGTGGTTGATATTGAATTGATAAAGTATGAATAAAGTAAGAATGATTTAGATGTTAGGAAATGGATGTAACGTACCTCGAAAGTACAACAACGGAAGTTTAAAATTTTCCAAAACAGGTCTTCCCTGATTATGACAAAACAACGAATATAACAATAATAACAAATCTGAGTTGGAACTTACAAATCTTACAACCTCGCGGTACCTTAGGTATCCACATGATTTCTCCTTTCCGAAAGAACAATTAGATCTCCCTAAGAGAAAGATTAGGAAATCTCTTCGTAGGGGAAATAAACTGATAATACTCAACCTAGAAAACTGGTGTATTAATTATGAAGGAGAGGATGTAATTATACTAGTTTTAAACTAGTTTTCCTATCACAATGAAAGCCTTCCTCATTAATGAGTTCTAGTCCTACCAGGACCAATACTTATCATTAATTAAATAAGCAGATAAAAACAACACAAAATAATAATAAGGGAGAAAGAGGGCCACGCCACTCTCTCCCATCCCCATTATTATTTATTTTCCCTTTTCCCTTTTAATTCCAAATTAAAAGAAAATATCAATTTATTTAATAATAAATAAATACATCTTAATTAATCAAGTATAATAAATTTAATTTATCTTACTTAATTAATTTTATCAAATAGAACTTTCCATCAACATCATGAATTAAATATAGTTTAATCCAATTAATATTTAATCCATGCATTTCAGTATTATGAATTAAATATTATTTAATCCAATTAATATTTAATTCCTTCTAACAATTCATTCGGATGATATAATCACTTGTTGCGTGACCCATGTGGCCTTATATATTAAGCACTAAACAAATTGAAGTCTAGCAGAATCCCTAAACGACTTACCAGACAATCTTAATATATATGAATGTTTGCGAGTACTATTCAAACTCCCTATAATATAGAGCTTACAGTGATACTGTCTTTTCATTCAATGAACATTCAACTAAGTCTAGAACTTGATATTGTGTCTATTCCAATAACTTAGTTTCTTTCTCTCAATCTTTCTAAATGATCCACAACGATCATATTCGATATCCAAAACGAATATATCTTTGTATTAGCCAATGACTTTATGATCAATCTAGATATGAGAAGTAGATTGTTCTCTCTTAATCTATTACGAGGAATGAATTCCTTTTTGGTTCAACTACTACTGTGACACTCCTTAAATTTAATAAGAAGAATTTAATATTAATTAACGAACATGTGATACCCGCTAATTGCATCTGTGGACATTTTCTCAGCTTATGCTTCGGGACGAAGCATCTTTTAAGGAAAGTAGAATGTGACACCCCGAAAATTTAAATGAATAATAAAAAAATATAAATTTTATCAGTCAGATAAAATGTTACGAAAGTGACATTTTAATAATTAAATGAATGAAGTTAAATTTTAACATCGGTGACATTTAATCAGATAAAAATGTTTCGATAATAAAAATGACATTTTTATAATAATTATGTTGACTAAATAAGACCTTGACCTAAATAACAAAAGTGACATTTTTGTAACATGTGATAATTATACATATGATATAAATAATAAAAATGACATTTTAACAATTTTAATGGAAAGATATCAGTTAATAATATTTGTACACAAATAACAAAGTTGTCTCTTTAAAACTAACAATAATAATATGTACGGAGTACATTATTACCACATATTCAGACGAACAAGATAACTGAGGTGTGACCTTCTCATTCACTCCCATGTGAATGTCATATGCCACATACATCATACATGTGCATGCATCCATGTCCTCCTCCACATGCAAGTGTTTCCCTCGGTCCTCATCATACATGCACCCAAGAATAATACGGAGTATATTCCGTAATACAATGTACACATAGAGCCCGTTTGGTAGCACCAAAATCGGCTGTTTTGGCTGATTCTGCTGAAATTTATGATATTCTAGCTGGAGTGGATGTTTTGGCTGATTTAAGAAAAAAATATTTTAAAAATATATTTTATTAATAAATTAAATAAAAAATTATATGTAAAAATAGCTAAAATGGTCTTCTACAGTAACTTCAGCCAATAAAGCCAGAAAAGTAACTCCAACCTTACTTTTTCGGCTTATTACACAATTCAGCGCGCGAAAGTAAAAGTTACGTGTTTGGTGAAAAAGCTGGCTGATAAGCCTGATAAGCCGAAAACAGAGTTCTCCAAACGGGCTCATAATAGGCCCGCAATAACAATAATATAGGTACCAATAATGTAGATAAGGTATCATAATAGCTAGAAATAATATACTCAATCATGCATAACATACGTAGTACAATGAACATGCAAACCCATGTGCTGATGTGCCTTTGAACTATTCACATACATACATATGTTCTATGTAACCATCAACCAAGCCACTAACAAGGCATATGCATATGTCGAAATTAATTGAATGATGCCAAAGAGGCAAAGACCCAACCTTCCATACTGTTAACCCATAACCTTTCACTCAAAATTATATGAGTACTACATATTTATACACCATCCTTAACGGCCAACGTATCCCTTGCGAGCAAGAAGAAAGAAAATAAAAGAGAAGCCACGGTTACCACCTCGAGTCGCCAGAAGGAAGAGCACCGGAGTATTAACACGGTTACCGATGCGGGAACGTAGAGGAAAAACTAATGACGCCGGAGATCACCGGACTGGTTCTCCACGCTGGAAGAAGCAAGACTCTTGAAGCCTGGACTGACGACCGAGCACTCCTGGACGCTGGATTTCATCGTTGGATGACCGAATCGCCGCCGCAGAAGAGAGATGGAAAACCTGAACGCTGGAGCTCGGTGTGACTACTGCGTTTGGCCGGTCCGGGGAAATTTACGAAGAAGACAACCCTACGTTGTTTTTTACGTAAGTAATACTTCGTACTCTATTAAATAGTGGACACGTTAAGTAGCCCAAAAAGAATGTAATGAGCTGAGTTGGTTAATTATTTCATTTAGACCAGATTAAAAATAATGGACGTTAATTATGTTAATTACTGAACTAATTTAAATTAGATCAATTAATAGTTATTAAGTACGATAATATTTGTAATAAACTATAATTGAAGTAATTGAAATATTTTTATAATCCGTATATTTTAATAATATTAAATTATAATTCATAATTTGGATGTTTTATAAGTAGATTAAATTAATGGCGTTTGCAAACTAAAATAGTTATATTATTCGGTTATGTTATCATGATTAAATATTCGGATATAGTAATTGAAGTGAAGGACGAATTGAAATAGTAACTAATAAAAAGGAGGATTGAGAAGTAAAGTGAAAGGACTAATAGAAGTAATTAATCAATGATTAATAAATAATCTAAAAGTTCGAATAAAATATACATGTGGGAATTAGATAGTAAGGACTAATTATGTCATCTTAATTAAAAAAAGGTGATTATTTAGAGACTGGAATAGAGGAGGAGAATTAGGAGCACTAGATTTAATGTAAGTTTCTCTGCCGATCCAAAATTGTTTCCTCGTATTATATGCTTATTATGCATTGTGTGATTAAGTGTAAATTTTGAATTATGTGTATGTGATTTTGAGGAGATATTAGATCTATGGTATTTGAGAAGTGCAAACGAAGTACTTTTGAGTATTAAATATTTTTAAATACCTTTGAGACTATTTAGAGAGATTGAGAAATATTTTTTGGAAGTATATCTAAAGTCAAGATAAAATTTACGTTTTCATAAGAAGTGAGCACCCGGGAGAAATCTGTGGTGTCGGTTTTCCACATCCGGATAAATGTGGAGGGTGATTAAGGCTGCTACTACTAAGAAGTACAGTTTGAGTATGAAGTGACGTTTGGATCTATGATCCCTTTTAAGAAGAAGTTATAGTAGTAGTAGTAGTCCCTAATCATTCAAGAATTTTAAAGGTGGGGTAGTTGGTAGACTGAGTCCCGATTACTCGTGACGACTTACTACTCGGAGGGCTTGGAATCACTTTAAGGGGGTGTGCACACTTAAGGTAGTCGTTTCGTTTCCATTAGCAATTGTGGGACCGGCAAAAGTCCCGGGGTGGCCGTACATAATAACGTAACCACCGGGCTCAACCAGAGTGTTGAGCACCGCCCTTCTAAATTACTAGGAAGATAGAGAAGAAGTGAATTTTGAGAAATTCTAAGATAGAGAAGAGTTACTATAGTATTTTCAAAGAAAACTTGAGGACTTTAGTAAAGAAGTGATTTTGAGAAATATCAAAAAGAAAAGAATTTTAGTGGAGTGTGTCATTTTTATATAGTATTATATGAAAAACTATTTTTAGCCAAACCTGATTATTTTACGGGGTTGGGTAGTACTTACTTAGCTCTAAAGCTAATTTTTATTTCCTTTTCCCTGTTTTGTTTTCTGCACTTTATTTGTGCAAGTGATGATGCTTATGTGGATTGATGATTTGCATGGTCTTGAGAGCGGTTTAGATATGCCTTAGTCAAACCTAGTCAAGAATTATAATTTAATTATGTTGAACACTTGTTTTACTTTGTTTAGTTTTGTGATTGCCTGTGCATCCGGTTAAGAGATGACCGGATGTGACGGTAACACCCATGCCATTTCCCAATTAATGTTATTTCCGCTGCAAAACTTTTTATCTGTTTTGAAAGAATAAATCAAGTTTATTATCAATAAATCTATTATTTCAAGTATTGTTTTGGGAGGGAAAATGGGGGTGTTACAAATTGGTATCAGAGCATTTTTCCGAAAAGGTTTCCAAACAAACTTTCAAAAGTTTTCTTATGTTTCTTAAATTTTTAAGTGATACCAACAAATTGGTAGAGTTTACGTTTTTAATTGGGGATTTTCAAACAAAAATTTCTCTTAAGTGAATATGGTTTTCAAAAATATTTATAACATTTTTGAAACTTTCTAAAATTGTTTTTTTAGAGCTGTATTTTCGAAAGCATATTGAAATTTATTTTATAAACGTTTTCAAAATGCTGATAACAGATTTCCAAAAGCTTTATAAAGAAAAGATTGTTAGGAATAATAACCTTATAATAAGAAAGAATAACTTTATTAGGATCGTGGCGAGATTGTGAGAGTTTAATTTTTTTTGGAATTGGATAATGGTTTAAAATAGGTATATTGTGTGTGTATTCCTATATGTTGCTTGTCTAGAAAAGACTTGGACCCAGTGAGATGAAACCTTTGACGTTAGGTAAGGGCATATTTGTTCCACGTTTCATTTTATGGAATATACGGTAGGAGGGTCCTAACTAGAAAAATTTCAGGTTCTATATGCTTCAGGAGCGAAGCATTCTTTTAAGGAGGGTAGAATGTGACACTCCTTAAATTTAATAAGAAGAATTTAATATTAACTAACGAACATGTGATACCCGCTAATTGCATCTGTGGACATTTTCTCAGCTTATGCTTCGGGACAAAGCATCTTTTAAGGAAAGTAGAATGTGACACCCCGAAAATTCAAATGAATAATAAAAAAATATAAATTTTATCAGTCAGATAAAATATTACGAAAGTGATATTTTAATAATTAAATGAATGAAGTTAAATTTTAACATCGGTGACATTTAATCAGATAAAAATGTTTCGATAATAAAAGTGACATTTTTATAATAATTATGTTGACTAAATAAGACCTTGACCTAAATAACAAAAGTGACATTTTTGTAACAGGTGATAATTATACATATGATATAAATAATAAAAATGACATTTTAACAATTTTAATGGAAAGATATCGGTTAATAATATTTGTACACAAATAACAAAGTTGACTCTTTAAAACTAACAATAATAATATGTACGGAGTACATTATTACCACATATTCAGACGAACAAGATAACTGAGGTGTGACCTTCTCATTCACTCCCACGTGAATGTCATATGCCACATACATCATACATGTGCATGCATCCATGTCCTCCTCCACATGCAAGTGTTTCCCTCGGTCCTCATCATACATGCACCCAAGAATAATACGGAGTATATTCCGTAATACAATGTACACATAATAGGCCCACAACAACAATAATATAAGTACCAATAAGGTTGTAGTTACTTTTGTGGCTGTATTGGCTGAAGTTACCGTATAAGATCATTTTAACTATCTTTCCATATAATGTTTTCATTATTTTATTAATAAAATACTCCCCCGTCCCAATTTCATGGTACCGAAACTTTTGGTCACAAAAAATAAGAAAGTGTGATAAAAGTGCATATATACCCTTTACCAAATTTTTACAACTTAACTTTGATAATCAAATTGACATCGCAAATGATTTCGTAACTATTCACAATTGTACTTCACATCACATCTTACGATTGGACAAATCAGCCCTGTAGCTTCCCTCCTAACTTCCCTCCTAAACATTGTTTGTTCAACCAAAAAAAGGAGGGAACTCAAAAATTAAACTTCTAAAATCACACTTTCAAAAGTACAACCTCTAATACAACCACAGCCCTATAAATACAACAACATTCAGCACATTTAAGACTGCTTCATCTATTTTAGCTACCACCATTAATGGCTGCCTCCAGCTCTAACTTAGCCCCATCACCTCCTCACTCTCCTCCACCTGCGCCTGCAACTGCCCTTGTCCATTTCCCTGCACAGAGATCAAGACTTACAAACAAGGGAAGAGAAGAAATAAAGGAATATTTTCTGAAGAATGTGGATGGCTTTGGGCGACTTCAGCGTGGTGTAATCAACAAAGGTGCATATATTTTTAAGGTTTCCAGACATGCCATGTCCAGAATATGGCAGATTGTAAAGCAACAGTTACAGAATGGGCAAAGCCTAGATGTAACTCACATGCTGACCAAACATATTGGAAGAAAAGGGGTAACTGTACCCCTTCAAAGTTTCAAGGACATTCCTTTGAGCAAAAGGACCAACATAAGGTCAGACTCTCATGCCCTAAAAATGTCTAAAAGTACATTTCACAGAATGAAGCAGAGAGGTGAAGAAAAGCACATACAAGCACTATGAAGCCATTTCTTACAGAATAGAATAAAAGAACCAGGTGTCAATTCTGCCTTCATCACTTAATTCCAGCTTCCTTACCAAACACTCCCACATTTCAAGGGTTTGACCATTTTATTCACATCGATGAGAAGTGGTTTAACCTAAGCAAAACAATGACAAGATGGTACATTCATGAGGGAGAGACTCCCCCTGACAGGCATTGCAAATCTAAAAGGTTTATAACCAAGGTGATGTTTCTGTGTGCAAACCTATTTTCGGTAGCGAGGGGGAAGTCATATGATATGGGAATATAGGGATATGGCCGTTTGTGGAGCAGGTGGAAGCATCAAGAAACATTAAGAATAGACCAATACATACAATGCAAACAAAGCCAATTCTTTCAGCGACAAAAAAAGTGTGCACGGAAATGCTACTGACAAAACTCATTCTAGACATAAAAGCTAAGTGGTCAGTAGCATTAGCCAGGGAAGTTATCATCCAACAAGATAATGTCAGACCACACATTAGCAAAAATGATCAAGAATTCAACCATGCAGCAAGTGAGGATGGGTGGAATATAAGGTTGTCAATGCAACCACCTAACAGTCCTGACATGAATGTCCTAGACTTGGGATTTTTCAATTCCATACAGTCTTTGCAGTATCAAACATGCAATAAAACAGTTGATGAGTTGCTTGCAAATGTTCAAGAAGCATGCACAAGGTTATCCCCCAAAACACTTAATCATGTTTGGCTAACACTTCAATTCATAATGGCTGAAATTATTAAGGTTAAGAAGGGAATAACTACAAGCTTCAACATATTGGAAAGCACAGATGGGAAAGATAAAGTATTCTTCCTACCAACATTGTAATGGACAAACAGATATTAGAAGATGCAATAAACCATCTGAATGGAGCAGCAGAAACAATATAGAGTGAGCTGCATGTATGTTTTGTTTAAGTAAGTGACAATACTCTCAGTTAACAAGATTATCCTCATAGAGATGTTAAATGCATCTCTTTGATGAGGTTGTTAGCCTCATAGAGTTTGTTCACAAATTGTGTTAACTACAACCATTTTAGGCATGATTTTTTGTTGAATAGTTAGCCAATATATGTAATGGTAAGCTTTTTTGTACTCTCAGTTGTTACTGTTTTATGACACAGTAACATGCTATAGCCAATATATCGTTCAAGAAACAGTGTACATATAAAGCATCAAACTCACAACAAAACATCATAAGTATGCACTGAATTACAACATGGGATAGTCAATTTGGTCTCACATATGCATCACATTCAGTGTTGGATATGTTTGACTAACACTTCAATTCATATTGGCTGAAATTATTGAGGTTAAGGGAGGGAATAACTACAAGCTTCAACATATTGGAAAACACAGATTGGAAAGATAAAGTATTCTTCCTACCAACATTGTAATGGGCAAACAGACATTAGAAGATGCAATAAACCATCTGAATGGAGCAGCAGAAACAATATAGAGTGAGCTGCATGTATGTTTTGTTTAAGTAAGTGACGATACTCTCAGTTAACAAGAATATCCTCATAGAGATGTTAGAATGCTGAAGTAAGTATCACATAATCAACTGCTTTGGGCCTTGGTTTGACGCGAGGTTGGGCTTTTCACTGGCCTGGGTCGCTGGACTGATTTTGATACGGGGCTGGGCTACTCATGGGCCTACTCCGCTGCTGTAGTGGGATTTCTGGACTGCTGAAGACTGTGAGGTGACTTTAATTAGTTGTCCAATGGCCTTTTAGTGGACTAGATTTATAACCATTTCAGTCGGTTTGATGATTTTATTTTGATGAATGAGCCGGGGCTTGTCTCGTGCCATTCTTGGACTGTACTTTTTGGGATGTTTTTGGGACTCCGAAAAAACTCTCTCCTCACCCTCGAAAGGTGGGGGAGGGGGATTGATATGATAGATACTATTTTAGGTTAGCTTGCTACCTTGGATAGTTCTTTTGATGCATTGTACTATGCTATTTTCTGGATATATATATATATATATCCAGAATTTTATCCAAAAAATAAAAAGTTGTACGCGGTCTTTTAAATTTGTCAAAAAAAAAATCTGTGTTGGACTAATAGAACTCAATTACAGCCTCACAAGAGTGTTCATAGGCTCACAGGCAACATATAAAGCATCAAACTCAGAACAAAGCATCATAGCTATGGACTCAGTTACAACATGGGTGGCAATTAACGAATCATTTCACCTCCTTCATGTTTATAACCACATTAACATACCCACACATAGTTTACACCACAATTAACATCATTAATCAAGCCCAACGTAAACAAAGAGAGATTGAGGTTTAGATATATACAGATAATTTAGTCAATTTGGGAGACTTATCTGAACCATGGTAGGTCGTTCATTCTGTTCTTCGGTCAGATACAAATATGAAATCCTCTTTGTAATCGAATCAGATACGTTCAATTATCTGAACCAGATACGTTCGATTCCGGTAGGCCGTTACCTGAACTAGATACATTCCCTCCGGGTCCGTTTTGTAATTGAATCCTCTTCTCTATTTATCTCCACGGTTGTATCCACCGGGCCTGTAATCCCGCCACCACTTCCCAAGCTAGGGTTTGTTTCGTCACCACACTCATCAATCTGCGGTTCAAGAATGATAGATTCTAGAAATATTTAGGCATTAAGGGCAGAATCTAGAGCTTGAGAATTGGGGCGTACTGGAGCAGCAATGGTGGTTCGAAGGTTGTCGACAGTGGAGATGAGGGCTAGAGAAATGAAGAGACGGAGGAAATAAGGGGATTGTTCGAATGAAGAGGTAAATGCGTAAGATCAAATGGGGTACGGAGTATAAGGATATTAAATGAGGGGCATATTAAATGAGGGGTACAATTGTCCAAACACAATTATTTCTATGCCTATAAAGGAAATGACACTATCATTTTGGGACACCCCGAAATGGAAATAAGGTACCATCAAATTGGGACGAAGGGAGTATATTTTAAATGTAACTTTTCATGCATAAGCATAATCAGTCAATCTAGCCACTTCAGTCAGAACTTCATAAATTTCAGCAGAATCAATCAATGCAGCTGATTGGAGTAATACCAAACGGGCTCTAAATATATGATTTGGAAATAAAATTCAAGAATTAATTTTTTAGTTTATATTTTATTTTTTATTTTGCATTTACCGAAAAATATAGCAATCTTTCATATTTACATTTTATATTTTCGACTTGTATTTTTTATTTCTATTTTTTTTTTGTAATTTTGACTTTTTTAAGGGTTGAGGGGTGAGTTGAACGATCCAGTCGGGTTCAGGAGATTATTTTACCCCTTAAGTTGTCACGTCACATGCGCAGTTGGCACCCTACCAGGTGACGTGGCGATGACTAGATCGCAACCCGCAAAAAATGAAATTTGAATCGATCTATGAGCCTATTTGATCCTTTAGCCTTTAAACAAATACAAATAACCATACAATTGAAGTGTCTTAATAAGCATGTCTAATCGATCTATTTCCTCTAGAGTTTAAAGAAGAGAATATTACCCAAAATAGGACTAAAAGGTTTGAAAATTCCAAAATAGGACTGTCATGTTTTTATTCTCAAAATAGGACTAATTAGTAATTACTGTCATGTTTTGGCGGTACCAGACTTCAAACATGGCAGTATTTTCCAAATTTGGCAGTAATTACTCCTATTTTGGGAATAAAGGCCTCTGGTGCGCACGGGTATAAGGCCTACCACCATTGGATTAATTGAGTCACTGTGACTTACTCCTCCACCATTCTATCGGGTTGGGGTGTAGGGGCTCCCGGTGTGGAAGACTCCATGCACCTTTTGGAACAATAGAGATTGTCAAAAAAAAAGTTAATTAGTCAAAACGGCAGAGGAATGATACCTTGTATTCTTTCAATTCTTTCTGTGAAGTAAACACTAGATTCTCACCCGTGCGATGCACGGAAACAAAATTTAATAAGAAGATTTAATGTTGTTTATTTACGTTAACGATATCTATAAAAAACGTTAACAATCGCATAAAAAATCATAAAATTGTAATTTATAAATGAGCAAAAGAAAGTATGGTATATAATAAAAAGTGCTATAATAAATAGTTAAAAAGAGCAAGTACAATTCGATCAATATACGTTGGAATGGGAAATTTGTCTGAATTTCTCATATTACCTACATTCTTAAGTAGTTGCAACATTATAAATTTTACAATATTCATGTGCTTAACTTTGACTATACTTTATTTACAGATGTATCAAAAAAATTAAAATATATAATTACATTTTTCTTACTATATTTTCAAAATGTAAGAGTTTTGAAATTTTTATAATTAAGGTAATAAGTATATTAATGATCAAAGTTGTGTGTTGGCAAGCATGATGTTAGTTTTCTCCTTCCTTGAGTTCATCAGTTCTGTCCAGAAGAGCTAAGCCAGAGAGACAGAATAGAATAAAATAGAGTATAGAGGCAGAATATAATAGAATAGTTTCAGGCTGCTCTCTCTCTTTAGAGGGAGAGCAGCGGCCATTTCATACGATGTACCAAAGTTCTCGATATATTAATCTGAATGAGAATGTTTCTGCCCCCTCTTTCATTTCTATGGTTGTTTGATTGTTAGAAATAGGGACTAACACATGAAAATAGAAGTGTTGAAACCACAAAAGAACAAAGAAAATATATAACAATATGAGTATGATTGGGCCACATTTTTCAAATTCCATTATGTATATATATATATATATATATATATATATTTATAGTATAACTATAAAAAGAATAATCAATACTATAAGTATTTAAATACATAAAGCATGTGAAATATATAAAATATAAACTTCCTCCGTCTCAAGTTATCTCTTCTTTTGATTTGTTGCAATATTGATAAAATTGTGAAAAAGTAAAAGTTATGGTTGAGATTTGAGTAATATAAAATGAAATGTTATAGACTTCATATTTATTTAAAAAATGACACTTATTTTGATAAAGCCCAAAAAGGAAAATAAGATGGGTAAGTTATGACAAAGTGAATATAAAATATAATATAAATTACAAAAAGAATATATAAAATATAAAAATATAATCCGTATAATACATTTAATATAAAAACACTTTAATATATAAAATAATACAAAGATAAATTTTCCCATAGATTCAAGACCACTTTAACAACATAATTCCATATTTCCATATATCAACCTTATAAAAATTAAAGAAGCCCAATTCTCCAGCCCAATAGAACTGCCCTAATACTGCATACGGAGTACGGAGTATTAAATCACCTACCAACCCAGCCCTAAGCATGACACATATAAAATCTCCATACCCATGTGCCGCATCAATTTTTAGTCTCCGTACACAACATTTAGAGGACCATCGGTTAATCCGATGGCCTCTCAAACCGTCGTTCGGCTGAACTTATGGTGGCTGAAGTAATTTCTTATCCGACAATTGAAATTTCTCGGACCATGTCTTGACTCATCACTCGGTTATTTGGGTACGTCCCTTTTATCTTCGTCCTACACTTTTTAATTTTCCGTTATAAATTACTATTTTTTTCATACTCTTGATTTTGTGTGCATATCCACGATTTCTATAACTTTTTAGATTGGTTTATTGGTAGTGTTTTTTCTTCAAAAAATTGAGGTCGGTTTTTTTCTCTGTTTGCTACTTGTCCAATTCTTCAATTTTTAATTTTTATGCTTAGGGAAAAATGTTACACCGTTGTGTAAATCTGCTAAGTTTAATTTTGACTGAGGATATATAAAATTTGTCTGGCTCTATTTTTTGTTACATTGGTCTTTGAGTATTTAAGGTGTGGATTAACAAAATCTCTTATATTTGAATTGTGTTGCGGGTTAATACAACTTCTGTTAACGTGAATCTATTTTGGATAAATCTGATTTGTAGTTGCCATGTAAATCTTTAAATGTGTATATTTATCAAACTCATAAGTCATAACACATGTGAGAGACGATTACAAACAAAGAAACCCGGTTGAAACATTTACTTTTTTGAAATAAGATCAAAGGATTTGAAATAAATCTTATCTTTTTGTAAAATTACACACATACCTGTTGAAAAACTTATCATGTAAGACTAAGGGAGTGTTTTCAATTGCTTCAACTTTAAAAAAGTGATTTTTTAAAGTGATTTTGGGAAAAGTGATTAGTAGTAAAAGTTGGTAGTGTTTGAGAAAAAAGTGATTCTGGAAAAGTAAAAGTTGGTAGTGTTTGGTAAAATAAGTACTTTTCGTGTAATAGAAAAAGTGAGAAGCAGTTTAAAGCACACTTCTACCTGCTTCCAGCTTTTATCTTTTAAGTGTAATTTAAGCAGAAGCTGTCATTTGAAAACACTCTTTTCAACTTTTTTTAAGCCAAAAACTGAAAAGCGCTTTTTTAATCAAACCCAAACACTCCTTAATTTTTAACACCCCATCTTATAAATTCTGGATCCATTGTACCGTTAAGATCTGTTAATATACATCGCCATGTGAAATGTATATCACTTTTTACTTACATGTATACCAAAAATATGACAAATATGATCAGCATTGTGAACATGCTTCACATAAGTGACACATACATACTGGTATCTTCTAAAAATTAGATATGGAGTATATATGTCACACATTCTATTCTACTGAATATATAAAAGCATAAATATTTCCCATATAAAAAATACAAAAAAAAATATGCACTACCGAGTAAGTAATTCACTGTAGATAGTTTAAAACTTTCTTTTTTAGAAGTGTAAATCTAAGCAGATTTGGGCAAGATCACCGGGATTTCATTCTGGCAATCAATTTTGGGAACAAATTAAACTACGTCCCATCATTATTTAAGAATTGTGATGTATATTTGAGCTAACATTCATGCTAATTTATATTTTATAATAATTTATTTCCTATCTAAAATATCTTGTAGACTTATTGTGTGCCATGGGGCGAGTTGTCAATTTCAACCATTTGTTAATATTACTGTGTACTTTTTATATTACAGGTGGCATTCAACATCTTGGATTATATTTTGCCATAATTTAGCATTTAGCATTGTATATGTAATTCTTACAGTCTGTGGCATAAATTATGTGCCCTTTTAATTTAATTTAGTATAGGGAATGCAGGGTATGATCTAAGCACTTCATTCCTATCCACTTCTTTCTGCAAAAGTTGGTTTGGAGGCTTCATCTCCATTAACATCAACCTGCATAATTAGGTACAAAGCTTAGTTGGGTCATTTATTAAGGTCAAATAGTGACCAGGTTATACAACAAAATAGATCAAGTTAGTAGTACCTTGTCCTTCCCCTATCTCCACCATTTGTTTTTGTGGCAGCAACTTGTGGCTCTTTGAAACTGACCAACTTAATAAGTTAGTATCCAGAAACTTCACAATGAACACCAATTCCATCCTATGCCCTCCCCTGGAGCCTGGACTGTGGTGGCATTTCATAAGTCCTCACCACCTTCACCTTGATAGCCCAAGTAGTCTTGGTGTGATCAACCTCTAAGGAATGAGTTCATTCCTTGATTTTCTGCACTTGAAACATGTAGTGTGATACTGTATGATGCTGTGTGAGTGTGGGATGGAAATTGAAGCGATTAAGTTGGCCTATTTATACTGCAGCGGAAGCCTGCATTACTTTAATATCCCACATGCAATAAACGGTTAATAACCAATGGATTCTATCTTTCACACAATATAGTTGCAATGCATTTAATGTCACTGTACTTTAAAGATCACTTTTAAAATATTGAGCTGCACAATAAGATATGAGAGTACCATTCATTAAATGCATCAAAAAGATTTGAAAAGATGGAATAC